GAGTGAGAGGCATGGGGACTCAGGGACTCAGGCTTTCCAAGGGCGGGGAAAGGGGAGGGGAGAGGGAGGAGATCATACAACTCAGGCAGCTGTGATTTGGCCCACAGATGCCACGCGGGCAACCTTACCCGGCATCTGCCAGCTTCTCAGGAGGCCACGAGAGGGACCCGGAGCTCCGCCCAGCGCCGCCGCTGCCGCGCTCCCCGGCTCCCCCGCCAGGCACCGCCGGGGGGCGCCTGGCTCAGCAGCTGCGCCAGGGGTGGGGTCCCTCGGAGTCGGGGGAGCTGGCTGGCGTGGCTGAGGGTGACAGCGTGGGGCCAGCTCAGGATGGCTCGCGCCCGGACCCCGCGAAATCGGAATCCCCGGAGTTGCATGGTGGTGGGGGGCGAGTGGAGTGCAAATCCTGGAATCCCCTGGAGTTCGATTCCCAGTCCGTGAAGTTTGACGAAGCTTCTAGGCCCGCCAGTAGGAGGAGTCAGAGCGCTTCGGGCCAGGTCTTGGATCCCTGGGAAGGTTCTAGAGAAGCCATGATCACCATTCAGGTATGGAAGATAAGTGGGTGCAGGCGGGGGGGGGGGGATGTGGAGGTGGAGAGCACCCGAGAGACCTCACACCTCAGTCCACCACCGTTTACCTTTCCAGGCTGTCCCGCAAGAGACAGAACCCCCTAGACCATTGTTTCAACCCCAGCTTTCCAGGTAAGAGATAGGGGATGAAGTTTTGGGGATAAAGTTGGGTGCAGAAGCATGTTTTTGCAACTCTTAAGCGTACAGTTCTATCTACTCTGGGTTTGAACCCCGTGAACTCCGTCCAAACTGCACACCCCACTATATACCATGGTGCAGCATGGTGGGGTTTGGAGATGTGGCTCAGTGGTAGAGTGCTTGTCTAGCATGCATGAAGCCCTGGGTTCGATTCCTCAGTACCACATACACAGAAAAAGCCAGAAGTGGCTCAAGTGGTAGAGTGCTCTAGCCTTGAGTGAAAGCAGTTCAGGGACTGTATAAAGGTCCTGAGTTCAAGCCCCAGGACTGGCAAACAACAACAACAACACCTGCTGGGTGGTCAGTGTGCATTTCTTGCCTCCAGGTTCTTGGTCCCAAAAAAGGCTGGAGAAATTTCCCAGAACAGCCCAGTCCACTGTGAGCAGAGGGTCTCAAAGAACTGTGGCTTGTCTCCTCGGCTCCCCTCCCTTCCTGACGATGATGATGTGTTCATGGAAGAAGGGGTGCCGGTCAGGATGAGAATATCTCCAGATTCCCTGGCTCCCCAGGGGCTCCTAACCAGGTGATTTTTCCCTCTTCCTTTTTTTTTTTTTTTTTTTAGTTGGTCATGGGGCCTGAATTCTGGGCCTGGGTG